CGTGGACCTGACTCCATGTTAGCGCTTCCACCTGAGGCTTTCAAGTACCTGTTAGACTGCTGAGCTCTACGATATTGATTTGGGCTGAACATGTACACTGGCTGGTATTTATGTTTACTTACGGGATTCATATGCTGGTTTGACAGTATTAGACTTTGTCTTGATAGGGTCTGGGAGTGGCTAGATCACTACAGAAAGTAATTTTCTTTCTTCTGCTTTGCCAGTTTTCTCTATATCTGAGAGTGGTCCACACACCCACCTGTGGGTCTTGTGACCAGTTCTTGCTTTCATATGGGCTTTGCACAGAAATGTAACACACACACACACACATCTGTTGGAATGCTAGACCTTCCAGGAGAGCCAGTTTGGTATAGTGATTAGGAGTGCAGACTCTAATCTGGGAGAACCGGGTTTAATTACCCACTCCTCCACATGCAGCTGCTGGTGTGACCTTGGATCAGTTACAAGTTCTCTCAGAGCTGTTCTCTCAAGAGCAGTTCTCAAAAGAACTCTGTCAGCCCCACCTACCTCACAGGGTGTCTGTTGTGGGGAGGGGAAGGGAAAGGCAAGTGTAAGCCACTCTGAGACTCCTTTGGGTAGTGAAGGGTGGGGTATAAATCCAATCTCCTCCTCCTCCTCCTCTTCTTCTTTGAGTAATGATATCTCTCCACCGTTGCCCTCCTTTTTGTACCCTTCTGTGTGTGCATATGCACACACGTATACATCTGGCAATTTGGGACAACCCCTCATGCTCCTGGCAAGAAGATCTGGCTGACGTAAGTTTCTGCCATAATACCCTTGTTAGGTGCCACAAGGTTATTTATTATTTATTATATTAGCATCCTTTTCATCTTTTTAGTGGTTTAGAGCAACTACTTGATTATGTGGGTTCTCCCCAGCAGCCTTTCGTCTTCACAACAGAGACCTAATCCCTACTACGTGTCCGATGGTCTGTCCAGCATTGCTTCCATTACTGTCAGAGCACCCACCTATGTGTTTCCTGATGACTGTTTCCTTCTTCTCCAAAGCCAAGGCCCAGCCCTCGCTTTCCTCTACCTCGTGGGAGTGGGAGTTGCCTCAGAGGAGTCCAGGAGGACCTTTGTGACTGTGGGGAGCACCCGTTCAGAAAGAGCTGCCTTCACAATGGGGCAGCACATGGCTAGGAGCCTACCAATATTTAGTGATAGGTTCCAGCTCCCATGGCAGCCATTTTTTGTTGATTGCCCCTGTGGTGGAAGGTGCTGTCAAGTCACAGCCAAGTTAATGGCGACACCCATATAGGGTTTCCAAAGCAAGAGACGAACAGAGGCAGCTTGCCACTGCATGCCTCGGTAGCAACCCTGGGCTTTCTTGATAGGCTCCCACCCAAGTAGTAACCGAGGTCAGCCCTGCTGAGCTTTTGAGATCTGATGAGACTGGGCTAGCCAAGTGAGCACTCCCACCAACCTTGGCCAAAAATGTCCCACGGCTGAACATGGTTGGTGACCCCTGCACTATGCCGCACTGGTTCAGTGGGGCAAAAATCAGGCAGATTCCTAGAGGACAAGGCTTTATGGCTACTGGACCTGATGGTGGTGTGGAACCCCATGTCTTCAGAGGCAGTCTTGGTCTTCCTGTATCCGTTTTTATCCTGTCCTCCCTCTGAGGGTAGCATCCATGGCTCTCTCCTCTCCAGTCCTATTCTCACAATCACCCTGCGAAGCGGAGTGACTGGCCAGTGGCTGAGTTCAGATTTAAATCTGCATCTCCCAAGTCATGAAACAGAAGAAGAGCCCCAGCGGATCAGACCAGTCTGATCCACCTAGTCCAGCATCCTGTCCCACGCAGTGGTCAACCAGCTCCTCTGGAGGGCCATCAAAAGGGCATAGAAGCCAAGGCTATCCCCTGATGTTGCCTCCTGACTCTGGGATTCAGAGGTTTAACGCCTCTGAACTTGGAGGTTCCCCTCAGTCACCATGACTAGTAGCCATTGATAGACTTGTCCTCCGTGAATCTATCTAATCCCCCTTTAAAGCAGTTTATTCCTGTGGCCATCACTGCATCCTCTGGCAGCGAATCCCACATCTGTGTAAAATAGTTTTGCCTTTTGCCTGTCCTGAACCTACTGCCCATCAGCTTCACCGGATGCCCTCAGGTTCTAGTATTTTGGGAGAGGCAGAAAAATGTATCTTTGTCAACTCTCTCCACCCCCATGCATAATTTTACAAACCTCTACCATGTCCCCGCCTTCATTGTCTCTTTTCTAAACTGAAAAATCCCAGACTCTTCAGCCTGTCCTCATAGGGAAGGTGCTCCAACCCCCTAATCATCTTGGTTGTTCTTCTACCTTTAAACTATCTGCCTATTTCCTGGAGGCTAACCAGTGGTCAGTGGAAATGAACCCTCCGTCATTAGTGGAAGAGGATGAAGGGCCTCCAGGGACACTTAAGAACACAAGAGAAGACATGTTGGATCAAGCCAATGGCCAACACTCTGTGTCACTCAGTGGCCAAAACCCAGGTGCCATCAGGAGGCCCACCAGCAGGGCCAGAACTCCAGAAGCCCTCCCACTGTTGCCCCCCCCCAGCACGAAGAATCCAAAGCATCACTGCCCCAGACGTAGTGTTCCATCTATACCTTGTGGCTAATAGCCACTCATGGACCTCTGCTCCAGATGTTTATCTAGTCCCCTCTCGAAGCTGTCTGAGCTTGTACCCACCACCACTTCCTAGGGCAGTGAATTTCACATATTAATTAGTCTTTGGGTGAAGAAGTACTTCCTTTTATCTGTTCTACGTTTACTGCTCATTAATTTCATTGAGTGCCCACGAGTTCTTGTATTGTGAGAAAGGGAGAAAAGTACTTCTTTCTCTACCTTCTCTATCCCATGCACAATTTTATAAACCTCTATCATGTCACCTCTCATTTGTCGTTTTTCCAAGCCAAAGAGCCCTAACTTCTTTAACCTTTCTTCATAGGGAAGGTGTTCCGTCCCCTTAATCATTTTAGTTGCCCTTTTCTGCACTTTTTCCAATGCTGTAATATCTTCAATAAGTCCTAGTCCATCCCTCTGGCTAGTCCACCAGCTCTCTGAACAGTGGTAACTGGGGACAGGAAAAGAGAAACTATCACCTTCCTGCCCTGCCTGCGAGCTTTCCAGAGGCATCTGTCCGGCTGCTGTTGGGAACCAGATAGCTGGACAGAGTTTTTGTTTTTTTTAAGTACCCGAAGGTACACTTTTATTGTTTTCTTATATTCCTAAACACAGACATAGACAACAACAACAACCAACATATAACCAAGAGACTAATTACCATTTTGTTACTATACCTAATCCATCACTTCATTATTCGCTAATATTTGTTAATATTCTCTAATTCCACTATTATATATTACTACATACTCAATTATTATTTTTACCATATCAGCTTAATCTCTGACTCCATTCACATCATACCAATCATATAGTCTCTTCCAAGTGACAGAGTTGATTTGGTCTCCTCCAGACCTGCCGTTCTGATGTCCATCTAGGTTTTGTCATTTGCAAATATTCGTGTGTACAAAGCTTTGGAGGGAGGAATTTGCTTGAGATCAAGTAGGGGTTCCGAAGGAGCTCCACAGACTCTTAGAAGTGCCAGTTGGGTCTTGACCTTGGCAGACTTGGCCATACAGATCTGTGGCCCATGCTTTCCTTTGCTCTTTGCCATCTGCCATTTTGCCTTGTCACATCTTGGATAAGTCAATCAGCAGAGATGCCGGTTCTTTTAAAAAAAAACATAGCTGAGGAAAGAGAAGCCGAGAGTTGCAAGGCCTGAGTAAACCTCCTCCTCCTCCTCCACAGAAATGAAATATAATAGGAAGCCAAATGTGTTTTACCCTCTTGCTCGGCGAAAGAGCCTTCCTGGCTGTTAATAGGTTTATTTATAGGGATGTAAGCATGTGTGAGGCCTTGAGAGGGCACCTCATTTTTTATTGACGGTGTGCATCACAGCCACTCCTCAGTGGCTTCTTTCTTTATCACTGTGCCAGGAAGCTGGTGTTGATTTCTTGGTACGCCGGTTGAATTTAGATTTGACTGCCCAGTACTTAGCATTGCCACAAGACTCTTGTCGTTGCCGAAGATGCTCAGAGTTTGTAAGGCTGTCCATTTGTGCGTTTTCAATCCAGTATTTTCCAGCTCTGTTCTGGGAGAATCTGAGGGCTGGAGGAAGCTTATTGGGGGGTGGGGGTTGTCGGTGAAAAGATCAGAAATGGCAGATGGGAAACTGACAAAATGGCTTTTCCAGGAGAAACAAGAGAATCAGTGAGATGTAGCCGTTAGAATATCCAGGGGAGGTCTGGGTTCAGATCCCTGCTCTTTCATGAGGCTCACTGATTGACCCACTGTACAAGGTGAGGTCAACACAGGGGGGAAGGGGCCATGTACGCTTCCCTCAGCTCCTTGGAGGAATGGCAAGTGAAAAATTAAATCATCTTTTCCAGCTGCAATCCAGAGTTTCAGGGGAGCACTGGGGTTGCTTTCTAAAGTGTGAGTTCAGGGCCTGCAGGACAACCGTGGACGGCCGACTCCTGTTCCTGTTCGTATTTGGAGTTCTGCAGAGCAGAGGCCTCTTACATTTTATGCCACTGTATACAGGTCTCTGTCAGCAGAGGAGAATGCTCCCATATGCACTTGACAAAGCTGTTGAATCTACAAGGGCCAATAGCCCAATAAATCTGTTAGTCTTTAAGGTGCCACAAGACTCTTTTACCGTTTTGAACAGGGATGTTATTACCAGTGGGTAAAGTTCTCTTTTTTTTTCTAAGGACAGCTCAGCAGTGACAGATGGGTGAATCTGAAGTTTGTGCAAATAAGCTCTTTGGTGCAGTTCTCTATAAGGGTGTGTTGCTTTGCAATTTCATATGTTGCTGTGCATCTTACTAGCCTCTCTGAACATTACCAGTAGTAACACAACAAAGTCGCTAAATTTGCTTATTGATATTTTTTGGGGAAAAAGCTGTACCATCTGTTTTTGCCTTAGCTTGCGGATTCGCTGGTGCCCACGGAGATGAAGCCAGGCATTTCCCTAGCAACCGTTACTGCTATTTTGCATACTAAAGACAACAAGCATGTGCTGCAGGTAGGATGTGATTGGGGGGGGGGGGGGGGGGGGGGTCGGCGGAGATGACATTCTTGGATCTTGGTGGTTTCCTGATTATCAGGCTTTCTCCCTGGACTTCAGTGAAAACACCTTTAGCAGTCCTTTTTTTTGCCAGGATCTCCAGATGGAGGGGTTGGGGGTTCCTCCAGTGACAAGCAGGCTGCTGATAAATTCCTAAGGTTCTCTCTCTGGGTTATAGCCCTGGCTATTGTTCTAATGTGTTTATAAAGGCCCCTTTTCTTACAAACAAAGGAAAAGCAAACTAAGCAGTAAGCAAAGATCGAAGTTTATTGAAAAAGGTACAAACTTACCTCCCAAATGCATAAAATTACCATGGCTTTCAAACAGGTGAATAAAAATGGAAAATTAATCCATAATTTAGATGAAAACCAGCATCACTGAACTGCCAGAGTTGTTCAGTTGACAAAAGTCAAAGGGCCCTAGGGGTGAAATAGATACAGATGGGGAAGATCCCTCTTTAGGTGCAGCAGGAACAATTGGGGGGGTTGGGGAAAGGTAAAGTTTTCCCCTGCACCGTGTTTCTTATTTTAATGGCCCAAATTGGAGCTACTTCTTGCCCTGTAGAGATATAGGTACTCTCCCCCCCCCCCACTTCATGTGGCAAATAGAAGCTTCAGAGGTTAATTAAACTGGAGGAACAATTTAGGAGGTAGGGAGTTAATCCCCTTTTCTTGCTCTATGGTGTCAATCAGATTTCCTCGGCTACTTTGATCTTTGATAAATACGTCCAAGAAATCCTGATCTCTGTCTCCAGTATTATATCTAGTTTGGCTGTCAGCTTAATAAATGAAGATACAGAGGGCTGAAATTCCCCAAGGCATCCTAGGGAAGCATTTCCAGTGGTACAGGGGCTGACACAGAAAAGGCCATGTTTTGTGCACACCCAAGATCTGACTGCCCTGCCCTGAATAGCCCAGGCTAGCCCAATCTCAGAAGCCAAGCAGGGTTGGCCCGGGTTACTGTTTGGCTGGGAGCCCACCAGTGTTCCCTCTAAGCTGAGTTAATGTGAGCTAGCTCACAGTTTTTTAGCCTCCGGCTCACACATTTTTGCCTTAGCTCAGGAAGGGATGGCTCCAGAGCAAACTAATTTATGCAGCAGCCAAATTGCTCGCTCACAACTTTAATGCCAGTAGCTCATAAAGTAGAATTTTTTGCTCACAAGACTCCATAGCTTAGAGGGAGCATTGGAGACCACTAAGAAAGTCCAGGGTCACAATGCAGAGGCAGGCCATGGCAAACCACCTCTGAAGGTCCCTTGCCTTGAAATTCCTACAGAGTCTCCATAAGTCAGCTGTGACTTGATGACAAAAGAAAAATCTGACCTTTTGTGGTAGAAAAAGCTTCATCCAGCATCTATTGAGTAAGAGAACTCCTAAAGAGTGACAGGGTACAAGCCTTACGAGCTATTCCCCTTGGATTGAGACCGCAAGCAAAATGGCAGCCAGTGCGGCTGCACAAGAATGGGTGCCCTATGGTCCCTGTGCCCAGCCGTGAGCCGGAGGCAGGTGGCGGCATTCTGCACAGCCGCAGCCTCTGAGCGTCTCAGGGACACCCCCACAAAAAGGGCACGGCAGGGAGGGATAGATAACCAGGAGGGAGAACCTGTTCCCTGACACAGCTTTGTGTGCCTTCCCCCAGCCCAGCCCCCACCCTACCCTGAGTAGCCCTCAGAAATTTTTAATCAAGGCTTGGTTAAAGGGGGGGGAAGATCACAATGTCACTGGGGGTGCGTGAGAAAGGAATAAGATTCCAAGTCCTTCAGATACATTTCTCACTGTAATGCTCTCTTGTGCATGGAAGGCACTGGCCACGGCTCCCGGGGGTGGGGGTGGGGGCAGAGCACAAGCTCTGTATACAAAAGAGCGCAAGGTGGATATCCTGCTTAAAAGGTCATCCGTAACAGTGCCGGGAAGGATCCTGGCGGGCTGCCTTAGGTAAGAGCAGATGATAGTGGACCAACGATCGGACTCGGTCGAAGGCCGATTCTCACTGTTTCTATGGCTGCTGTGAGGCTCCTCCCTCTGAAGCTCCTGGTGGCTTGCACTTACCTGTCTCCAGTCGGTCTCCCCAAGCCTCTGAATGGGGGAGGGAGGGGGGTTACACCGCCTCAGTCCTTCTCCTTCCCCCAGGATCACAGCTGTTGTCACATCAGAGCCATGTCCTCCTCCCCTCCTTTCCCAGGAACGGGCCTCTAAAGGTCCGAATCGCCCCACCCCTTCCCTGGCCTCTCTCTGAGGAAGGGCGGTGATTTGCTCCTCCCTGCCCCTCCTACTCGGCTGTTGGATGGTTCGGCCCACCGGCTGCCCTGCCTCATTGGCTATGCCAGGGGCTTGGGTGGGATAGGCTGGTACCCCTCCGTCCCTGCTTTTCCCTGGCCCTGCCCTGGCTTCTGCTGTGGCTCTCAGGGCTGCTCCCAGCTGTCACCTCCACCTGTGTCTAGTGCTCTGGTGCCAGGTAAGGGCCTCGTGTTCTCACCCGGGAGTCTGCCAGGCTCTCTGTCGGCAGCGGCGGGGCCGCTGGGAGCCTCATCTCCCTCAGCAGCAGTGGAGGGTTTGGCCCTGAGTCTGGTGGTGTTTCCAGACAGCTGCTGCCCATCTGCCAAAGGAGGAGGTTTATCTAAGCTGCACCCTCGTTCCAGGGTGCCCCAGTCCATGTCCGCATGCCCTCCGCTTGGGATGATCCCTTTATTAGCCATCCCCAGGCCCTGGAGGGATGGTATGAGCCACAAGAAGATGGCCACCCCTGCGCAAGATTAGCAAGGGATGAATAACTGTAGCAGAGGCAGTCCCAGTATCTCTCAGATTTATACCCCAGCTTCCTTTCGCCATGGAACTCAGTTTTTATTTATTTACTTCATTTCTCATCTGTCTGTCTCAAGTCTCAAGGAAGATAACAGTGTTATAAAAGACAATGGAAAAGACTGTGTGAAACCTACAATTAAAAATGCAGTAAAACTGGATAACAGTGCTGAATTACACAAATGAAAGAACAATGGAATAGCAGCAGTGTAATACAATGAGCATAAACTAGATTGCACAAATGGGGAACAGTGATCCAAAACCGGGATTTCACAATCAGAGGATGCTGGAGTGCAGACATCCAGTAAACAATGCAACATAAAAGGGGGAGGGAAAAGAAAACAGCCTAACATTTCACAGGCAATTAGATTAAAACCATATTACCTAGATTGCGCCCTATTATATCCCTGTTCCCTTTATGACAAGACCCTTCTGAACTGTTGTGTTCTACACATTCTGTGAAAGGACAGAAGTGTGGAAGCCTTTTTTAACCTCCTCAGGGAGGCCACTCTGCCACGAGAGAGGAAAGCGGCCTTAGAATTGTGGACGTGGAGCTTCCCGGAGGTCTCCTGTCCAGGCACTGACCAGATCCAGACCTGTGCAGCTCCAGCAAGAGCTCTGTGTCATGTGCCCCCAAGCCATGACAGAGGCCCCAGTGTCTTCTCACTTGCTCTCCTTTCTTCTCTCTCTCTCCCCCCCCCCCCCGGGTTGGCTGAAGAGACACCTCAGAAAGGGTGACTTGCCTGGCAAGAAGAGGAAGAGGGTGACGGAAGATGTGCCTGAACTGAGAGCCATCAAGCCCCTGCTCAGCGGCTCCATTCCCATGGACCAGTTGGTCCAGACTCTGGAGAAGGTAAAGATTCAAGCAGTTTTCCCCAGTGGCTCCTTTAAAGATACTGCAGGAAGCTGTGTGTGGTTGGGGGGGGGGGATGTTACCCAAATTGGCAGTCTCCTAATGAGTAGGAGGAGTTAGCTTAAGCGGAGACAGAGTGTGAGGTTGGTGACTGGGATCTCCACCAATGTATACCAGGATGTTCCCTTAGAGAACTCTCAAAATAAACCCGTCAGATGTTCAACTGGAAGTTGTTTTATTGAAAAACAATAAAAGGGCGAACACACACACACACAGAACACACAAATGCATGAACTAGCTAAGGAGAAATAAAGAGAGGAGAGGGAGATAGTGATTTTGGGGAAGGTGATATTTATCAGTTTCAGAGAGCGAAGTCCGCGGAAGGCAGCAGGCGCAATGACCAGTATTATGCAGAGCAAAGAAGAGAGGAGACCCACACGCAAGTGGGAATGTGAGATTTGATGTTGAGAACATACACTGCTTGGCACAGAGTGCTGGCAGTTATAGGGAAAATGTTCCCTGGGGCTATCTGACGTGTTTGCCTCAAAAATAATTGCCTGGTGGCTGTTCTGGGGATGGACAGTGCTCTTGGGAAACCTTGATGAGATGAACTATAGATGTTTCCTGATGACCCTCTGAGGACCAAACAGGAAGACTACCAGGTTTTGGTGAATAGTGTTAAGAGTTACATAATGTGGTTAAATGGTCAAGGGGGAAGTACAGCTAGGCTTTGGATGAGATTAGTCCAAGGTAAGGTGTCCTGTCTTGGTAAACCCATTGTTCCTAAATTATGCATTTCCTGAGGTTGTGGGGAGGGTCATTAGTCCTGACTCACCTTCAGAGAGTCATTAGTCCTGACTCACCTTCAGAGAGAGCCAGTTCGGTGTAGTGGTTAACCGGGTTTGATTCCCCACTCCTCCACTTGCACCTGGCTGGATGACCTTGGGCAAGCCGTAGTTTTGATAAGAGCTGTTCTTGAAAAAAGGGCAGTTTCTGTCAAGAGATCTCTCAGCCCCACCTACCCCACAGGGTGTCTGTTGTGGGGAGGGGAAGGAAAAGGAGTTTGTAAGCCGCTGTGAGACACCTTCGGGTAGTGAAGGGTGGGGTATAAATCCAGTCTCCTCCTCCTCCTCTTCAAATATAAAGAAATGTTTTCTCATATTTGTCTCTGGCTGGCATCCATATTGTGTCATTTTAGGCCAGACCATGAACATTTTATGATTTTTGAGGTGATGTCTGTATGAAGGGTTTTTATGCCTTTTTCTCTCTAACCACTAAACTGCCCCTCTGCGGGAGGAGGGGGTCTGACTGCTAACAGAACTATGCAGATTTCCATTTGCTGGGTAGGATATTCGGGGTTCTTGACAGCTTTCTTTAAATTGGAAAGAGGGAGAAAAGCATATGTTGGAACAGAGCAATGATGTTGCAAAACCAAGTACAGTGACTCAGCCTCCGCTGGTGTTCACGGTATGCGGAGCTTTTTGATTACAAGTCATGCAGAGCTGGCCAGGGATTCTTTGCATGCTCTTCGCAGGAACAGGACTGCTCCACAGGCTGGGAAGGAGGCCTTTTTCAACATTGTGGGTCTCAAAATAAAAACAGCAAGATGCCTGCTATTAGGCAATCAGTGGTAGGGTGTGTGCATACAGAGGGAGATACTGTATATTGCACAAAGGGGCCTTCCTACCAGTGTGGTCCAGGTAGAGGTGGGTTTTGGCCTGATATGCAGCCCTCTGTTTGTCCTATAGGAGTGCCTGGAATCCATTAATCTGTATGGGAGGAAGTGCAGCCATTCACTCAGAGAGCATTCAGGGTGGAGCTAAACCTGCCCCTGGAGATCCCAGTGTCTGGCACTGAGGCAGGTCTTGTCCTCTTTCAAATGTAGCCTGTTTGCATTGTCATATAGACCTCAGTGGGAGCCCCCGCGAATTGAACGAAGCCTTCACACACCCCTTCTCCCTTTTATCATCATAGCCACACCCTAATATGACTGTTAGTGTCATCAAGCTCTTGGGTGGTGAAGAGAATGCTGAAAACATTAAAGAAATCCTGGTTTTAAAACCAAGCATTTTGAGCAACTAATTGGCTCATCAAGCAAAGTCCGCATACATTTGCATGCAAATACAACAGCATTCTGTCTTTGTCTGTATATGATGCACGCCTGCGTACCAGCAGGCACCCACTCCCGAGTGAGGGAGGAGGAGGAGGAGGAGGGCCTCTGCTGCTTTTTCTGCAAAACCCCTTTTATTTATAAGGTTTTTAAAGTGTATATAACAAGGCCTGTAAATCAGCAAGGATTAGGACAGCACCACAGAGACGATAACAATAAATCAGGAGACTATTTTAAAAACTACTAAAGAAGAAGGATGACAGTAAAGAGGAAAAGTGAGCAATCAAGAGGAGGAGGGAGAAATCCACTGTACAGATTCCTGGACTGCAACTGAGAGAAAAATTATATTCTTACAGCTGTACTACTAGTTGAGGAATGCTTCCTCTAAACCACAATGCCTGCCAAATAGGAATTTCTAAGCACATAGATTTTATACAAACACACACACACACATATTGGCTAAATATTAAGAAGAACTTCTTTGGCGGTTTTCAAACAGAGGCCACGATGATCTGACAGCAATGCTGATTCTGTGAACATAGGCAGATCATGAGAGGGAGGGGATCAGTGCTTCGTTCTTGTGGCCTTTTCTTACATGGAAATGCCGATTGCCACTTTGAGGTCAGGAAGCAGTTTTTCTCCAGGCCAGTTTGGCCAGTGATCCTGGAGGTTTTTTTGTCATCTGGGCATGGAACAGTGGTCACTGGAGGTGTGTGTGTGGGGGAGGTATTTGTGAATTTCCTGGATTGTGCAGGGGGTTGGATTAGATGATCCTGGAAGTCCCTTCCAACTCTTATGATTCTGTGATTCCATATATGTATAATCTGCTGCCAGATCAATGAGTAGCACCTTTTAAAATTAACCCACTAATAAGCATTACAATCCTAAACAAACACAGTGCTGTCATAAGGGTGTAACTCTGCTTAGGGAGGTGCTTTCTTTGACCATGTAAAAGCATCCGATGTGTGAAGAAATGCCCTCCACCAAAGAAGTGACTGTTATATCTCAGTCACTGTGACTACACTGTGTGCTTAGGAAGCCAGCTTCAGGCTTGTAGCTGGCACTAAGGGGAGGGGAGAGGAAAGGAGCTATCAGGCTGCAAGCACAGAGCACTCATGCTCTTGATTATGCTAATGACTCTGGCCAAAGCTGGACATTGGTTTACCACCCCACACTCTTCTGGAGGGAGACACCCATTGATGGGGGGGAGGACAACAAATTGCTAGAATGTATTGTCTTCCTTGTGGGACAAAAGATCTGAATGACCCCAGGGCAATGCTCCCTCTAAGCTGTGGAGTTTTGTGAGCAAAAATTCTACTTTGTGAGCTGCTGGCATTAAAGTTGTGAGCGAGCGATTTGGCTGCTGCATAAATTAGTTTGCTCTGGAGCCATCCTTCCTGAGCTAAGACATAAATCTGTGAGTTGAAGGCTAAAAAATTGTGAGGTAGCTCACACTAACTCAGCTTAGAGGGAACACTGTCCCAGGGTGGGACTGGCTCTCCCCAGCATAGAATTTGAATTCTCTGGACAGAGTGAAGAAGCTTTCTACATCTTGACTTGGGAGCACAAGGCATCAAGGACTAAGGTTTATCTAGGGACACCATCTTGTCCACATGGCTAGGGACAATGAGGGGAGGTGTCAACACAGAAAACTAAGGTAATGTTGAACATTAAACTACTGCAACCTAAAGCTAGCCTGTCATATTTTAACATCCTTTAAGGTAAATTCTGAGTGCAGGAAAAGGGAATTGCGTGTTTTCACCTTTTCTTTGTATCCTTGCTCAGCTTGCATGCTTGACGTGACCATGTGTATTTTGTTTATTCATTTATTAAACTTTCTTACATTTTGAATGCTGTAGTCTCTTTAAAAGCACCACACCTATTTGGACTTGCTGCCTGAAGGGAGGGGCAGTGAGCAAGCTCACCATCCATGGAGCACAAAAGCACGAAATTATGGAGTTTTTATTTATTTTATTTACGTAAAACATTTCTGTGCCACCTTTCCAGCCAAATACTGTCTCCAAGGTGGCAAACATCAAGACATTAAAACAGTTTTTAAAATAAAATATATTCAAAATAGTTCAATAAACATAAACACATGACACCAAAACCAGGGAGTGGAGGGCCAATAACAGTTATCAGAGGCATGCCAAACAAAACGACCCGCTGACAGAAGACGACGACAGGCTAATCTCTCTGGGGAGGGAGTTCCAAAGTTTTGGTGCCACTGCTGAGAAGGCCCATTCTCCCGTTGCCATCCATCTGGGCTCAGATAAAATGTCCTGTGCTAGCTTGTAGGAGAGAATTGGGAGGCGGGACAATGAGGCAGAGCCTCTAAATGGCAACAAAAGTACAGAGTGCTAGACACTACAACTCCATTCAGTAGGAGATGTTTTTAGCATTGGTGGTGGCAGTGGAAGTTACCTAATTTGTTTTTGGAGCAAAGGAAAGGGGCACACTTGCTGAGCAGAGACTTGGGACAGCCCAGCCACAGGGTTTTCCGACCTCTTGGGGACCAACCCAAAGGAACTGGGGAACCTCAAAAATCCATTCCTTCGCACTGTGCTTAGCAGATTAGGGCATCCGGTTAATTTGTTCTGTATGCCAGTAACCTTTCCATTCTCCTGTTCCCACAGCACGGCTTTAGTGACGTCAAGGTAGAAGACACCCCGAAGGGACACATCGTGCTGTTTCAGGATGTGGAAACGCTCATTCGGATTGAGGAGGATTCGACCCACATCATGTGTGAAAGTGATGAGGCCCTGAGGGTTAAGCTGCAGGACTTAGTCCTCAAATTTCTGCAGAAATTCTGAGCCTCTACGTGCCAGTCCCTCCTCTTGAAAGAGAGGTTTTAAAAACTGCAGGAATGGAAACTGTCTTTAGTCTGGGCAGGGAGAGCAGAGCTGCTGCTGCCGCCGCCATGGAAAGACCTCGTACAGCTCGCTTCTCTTCCTCGTGCAAGAAATCACCATGCAGTTACCAACTTCTTTACCAGCAAAGGCTTCTGTGTCTCGACACACCCAGGAGTAATTCAGCTGGTGCCACTGAAGCTACAGTGATGGCAAAAGTTGCGCCAGTCCGATTTTGCACTGCCCTGTAAAAGATGCAGGAGCCTTGACCAGGAAAATTTGCTTCCCCTTTCTCAGGAGCCCTGCCTCTATCGGAACAGGAGGAGACCACTTGTCATTCGTGCCTCCAGCTTGGAGAGAAGACATGGCTTGCTTTAGTCCGTGCTGCGTTTCTCTTTTTCATTTCCTTTCAATTTTCAACCTTTTAAGTGGTGATTGTTTTGCTTTTTTTAAAAAAAGAAAACAAAATCCCGGAGGCCCATTCGTAGCTGAACAAATAAAAAACCCTATTTTAATAGATAAAAGTCACGGTGTGAGTGTTCTGTTTAGCTCTGGGGTATAAGGATTAGTCAGAGGTTGTGAAAAGGTGCTTTGTGGACTCAAAGCTCTCGGTACAGAATGGAAATCCTATTTTAGTGTTTTAGCTTTCAAAATGAATTTCTGCGCCGCTCTGTCAGAAGAGAATGAGCATGGCTGGCGTCAGCAGTCAGAGAAGCAGGGCGATTTGTGGGTCTCAAGGGCTGCCGGGGGGGGGGGGCAACACTGGAGCAGGGACCAAGAAGATTGCCTGCTCCATCCCCCTGAACTGCAGGGCCTGTGGCCAGTAGAAGAGGAAGGGTAAAGCCAGAGAAGAAGAGGCACCAGAGGACCCGGGATGGGCAGTCGTCCTCTCTTGACTCTGGGGCCCACAAAAACCTGCAGCCAGCCAACCATGAGCTCCTTTCCATCCTTTCCCCTCTATTCCGGATCACATTTTGATTTGAAGTTGGCTCGCAATAAAGCCAAGACACACCTAGGCTGAGAGCTAGTTTCTGTTTATCACATCCTTTGTCCCGCCTTTCTTACAAAGAGCCAGAGTATCCATAGTTTTTCACTGCTCCGTTCCAGAGGGAACCGCTGTTGCTGTGGTTCCAATCAAGTCTGCGTGCTTCTTTGTGTACCAACAATGCCTACTCAACCTATAGATAACAGATCATGATTAAGAGTAAGGCTCCAGTTGTGATAAGCAGATGCGTATGTGGAATCCGGTTTCTATAAAACATTTCCAGGATCAGAACCCTTAGTGTAAGTAAAATATGTCCCCTACTACTTTTTTTTGTAAGATGCATCCTAAGTTCACAGTAAAGGGAGCGCCTCTTTGTTTCATCGCCTGGCCAGATATTGTATTGCACACTGTTCTGTTTAAGCTGGACATTTTGAAATGGCAAACTAGAGGGCCTGCCTGTGTGTAAATATATTTATGGCAGAGATGCACCCAACTTTCCCCTTCAATATAGCCATGAGTGAATTGTGTGGAGCGGCAGATTCAGAGGCCTACTCACAAAATAAATTAGTTTGATTATTTTTTTTACATCCCTCAGTCAGTGTCGTTAACGCACTTTGCGCTTACCAATAATAACTTCTCAAGACAGGTCTCCTTCGATGAATCAGGTTTTTATTTGGATTCAGCTTGCAAGCAGGGTGTGTCTCGCTGCCCAGAGAGTCCTGAGAACACACACTGAATTGGGTTCTGTGGCAGATATTTATCCTGTCCCGGAGTGGTATGGAAAATAAGAAACGCCCTCTCCACCTCCCAGAACTGAGAGTCAGGAGTTACAACTTCCAATCACCGATCGCCTAATCACTTCTGCTTTTTATTTAGACAAGCCCACTACTTCCCCAAAAACGGCATAATTCCTTTATGCCAAACATGGTATTAACTTTCTCTACTCTTTCCTAACCTTTCTTCATAACCCACAACGTCCCACCACAAGTATCTTGAGACAGGTCTTCTCGTAAAACAGGGAATGGTCTTCTCGTAAAACATGGACCTTTAGACCGCAAGATGTCCTATTTCAGCAGGCCTGTCTTGGGCCATCATCTTTTTGACAGACTTGTTTATCAGAGTCAAATGTCAAGTTCCTCATTTTAGACTGGTCAGCATATACACTAAGAATATATAAAAATATGCAAGATTAAACATAATAATTCCTTTGCAAAGCTTCTGCCTATGTTATGTTTCAACTACTCAACTGTTTCATTCCACTGGATAGTCAGGTATTTTAGGTGCTTTTCCTGTCACCCAAATTGCTGAGTGTAACCAGGTTCTTCAAGACTCCTGCTCAACAGTTGGCAGCTTAGTTTCTTCATATAGACTATCCTATCTTTTCGCTGTCTGGTTGCATTTCTGCTTTCTAAGCAAGCAAACGTAAGCATTTATTTTCTAGCAATACACTTTTAATTTCAATACACAGCAAACGTCCCTCTAACTGAAGGCAATTTTCTATAACACTCTTAATTTCAATACACAGCAAACGTCCCTCTAACATTCTCTTACTGAAGGCAAGCTTATTATAAGTTTTAAAGTAAAAAAATCCTTAATTTTTGTGAAATATTTCTTGGCCCATGCCACTTCTGCTTTCTGCTAGATGTAGTGTTTTGCAAGGTCTTCTGTTTCTACTGAGTGGAGATGTTTGTGCAAGCTGGCTGCTGCTATGTGTCTGACTTCCCCATTTCTAACTGCTCTTAGCTCAGCTTCTTATTAATCCTTGAATATTGATTTCAAACAAAATATTTCTATTGCAATTTTTAAAGCAAGGTTTTTAAGATCAGAAGCCCCTTATATTATTGCATTTATCACAGTCAGCATATTTGGCCCTCATAGGTGCTGGTTTCGCTGGAAATGGGCAGTCCTTAAGGAACATCCCCCCCCCCCCAAAAAAAAAAAAGATGGAGAATGAGAAATGAAACCTAAACGAACTGCAGCAGAGAGGCTGGAAAAGAGTCCTTCTTTAAGGTCTATCCATCAAGCTGTCTTCTCCCAAGATGCCTTGCGGATGCAGCACTGACATGTGTACAGGTCTTTTATTAATTGCTTGGCTAATAACCACTCATTTTCCTCTCCCTGCTTTTAATATTTACAATTTCTAGGCTATAATTTATAACAGTTACTGTCAAGGCCACGGCAGTCCTTCAGTGGAGAGGAGGCTGTAGAAGTTTGGCTCCATCAGTAATTGATTGCTTCATTTTTCAATATCCCCTTTCCCTCCTGCATGCCATTCATTACTAACTGTAGGGGGGGAGAAATGAGGCAGAGCGCGAGAGGGAAAATGTGTGGTTTCAAGCTTTCCCATTGTTACAGGGCCAAGAGGGTTACTGAGCCACCGTGTCTCCTGTGGAGCCGGCCAGTGACAGACTTCTGTGCCATGCGTCACCCTTGAAACTTTCTCCAAACAGCCCTTAGCACTTTCAGAGCGTTCAAAGCCCTTTCACATGTTTCATGGGGTCTTTTTAAATAACTTTTTATTTTAATGTTTTTCCAGAAAAAAATCTTGTACAGAATATATTAACAGGAATATGGGTGTATTACATATAACAAGAAGGCTGTGTAGGAACGTTATGAGTGGCTATTGAACAATTTAACAAAGATAGAATATGCAACATATGATCCCCATCATGTGATCTTGACAACAAGTCCCAAAGGTATTTATCCACTATCTCAGCTTTCAGAAGAGAGGGGATTAAAGAAATCCATAGAGAACAGCTGTATCAACAGCAATTAGCCATAATGGGTAAGTGGACCCTCCATGTTTAGAGGCAGTATACCTCCAAATACTGGTGAGCAAGCAGAGTCCTGTTGGCAGCCTTCCATACTAATGAGGTTCCAGAAACATCTGATGGATGGCAGGTGGAAATGGGTTTCTGAACTAGGGGGGCCTTGGTCCAGTTTAGCAGATCCCCATATTGCAAATGGTGGGAGTACACTAGAGCCAGAAAGTGTGGCTTGCCTAAGGAAGCCTGGTGAGTTCATGACAGAGGTGAGATCCAAAGTGGGGACTTCCTTAGCTCTAGTTTAGTCTCTGATGTGACATAGCCCCTAAATCCACCCCCAAACTGGAATATCAATTTCTCTCTTGCATCCACGTAGCAACCCTAGACTTCCTTAGTGGTCTCTCATCCAAGTGCCCGCCAGGGTTGGCCCTGCTTAGCTTCTGAGATCTGATGAGATCAGGCTAGCCTGGGCCATCCAGGTCAAGCCATTGTACTTGTTGGGTGGGTTTAAAAGCTTAAAAGTGACACTTGTTTCCTGGTTGCCCTGTTACTGCAGTGAACATGATAGCAGCACAGGAACAATGTCAAATGTGGCTTTTGTCTTAGGTAAAGGGATGTCTCAGGAGCTGCGGTGGCTCAAGTGGTTAAGACGCTGAAATGCAGGCTGTGGAAGGTCGGGAGTTCAGCAGTTCCAGACCCGAGTGTGCCGCATGATGGAGTTGAGCTCCCATCTCTAGTTCCAGCTCCTGCCAACCTAGCAGTTCGAAAGCAAGAAATTGCAAGTAGATAAATAGGGACCACTTCAGTGGGAAGGGAACAGCGTTCCGTGCGCCTTGGTGTTTAGTCATGCCGGCCACAGGACCACGGAAACTTCTTCGGACAGCGCTGGCTCTTCGGCTTTGAAATGGAGATGAGCACCGCAAACCTAGAGTCGGACTCGACTGGCTTTCGAGCAAGGGAACCTTTACCTTTTAAGGGGATGTCTCAGTCTCATGGTACTTGGAATATCATTTCCCCAAGGCCTTCTCAGGAAGAACAACTGTCCCAGATTTTCTGTTAAAGCTACATGTGCTACATGCAAAGGCCATAGCACAGGAGCGGCTATTTAACATACTGCATTCTTATACAGAATCAGATCACCGGTCAGTCTAGATCAATGTTTGTCTACTCTGACTGGCAGTAGCTCTTCCAAGTCTCAGGCACAAAAAGGTCTTTCCTGACACCAGTCGCTGGAGAGCTTGTAATGGGAGGTGCCAGAGACTGAACCTTGGAGCTTTTGCATGGAAGTTTAATTCTGTGTGTGTGTGTGTGTGTGTGTGTGTGTGTGTGTGTGTGTGTGTGTGTGTGTAATTAAGGGCCATCAAGTCACAACTGACTTATGGCAACCCTATTAAGTTCTACCTCATGGGGTTTTCAAGACAAGAGATGAACAGTGGTTGCCATTGCCTTCCTCTGTATAGCAGCCCTAGACTTCTTAGAGAGGCAGTGTGATATAGTGGTTAAGAACGTCAGACTCTAATCTGGAGGACCCGATTTGATCCCCCACTCCTCCACATGCAGCCAGCTGGGTGACCTTGGGTCAGTCACAGCCCTCTCAGAGCTCTCTCAGAGCCCCACCTGCCTCACAGGGTATCTGTTGTGGGGAAGGTGATTGTAAGCTGCTCTGCGCCTCCTTTGGGTAGTGAACAGCAGGGTATAAAAGGAACTCCTCCTCCTCTTCTTCTTCTTCCTTGGTGGTCTCCCATCCCG